ATTTCCATCAGTTTTAACAACATTCTTGTATTGTTGGTAGTGTCTGGGTTTTTCGGTTTTCATTTTCTTTAATTGATTAGCAAATTATGGGTGAGAGATAGGTATATGGTGATGGAGAAGTTGCCCAATGGGAGAAATATAACTATTAATGAAGGCTAAACTATGGGGTTAGTGATGGGGTGAGAATCTATTTCATGAATTCATCAATAATAATGAAAAGATCCCAGTTGAAACCAAAGAGTAGGCAATCTTGTTTTTGAGGCCATATATGTGTATGTGTACTATATGTGTATGTGTATATGAGAATGACTTGTAAGTTGGAATAAAATGACAACTTTGTAACAGTTCATCAGGAATGATTCTATATTGATCATTCTTTAAGTTTCAAAACATTTTCTGTCCAATGTACTCTATGCAAATTATCCTAATCAATAGAGGAAACAGAAAGTTTTCTGTTTTCTATGTTGAAAAAAGTTACATGTATAAATGTAACATTTTTTTTTTTAGCAGTTACCATTGTACCTCTGATTAGCATCTATTGGCTGAGGCAGGAGAGTTTTAATTTTTGGATATTTAGATGAATGAATAAAAATCTAGTGCTGAGCCTTCTGCCAGAATGCTGTCTTGTATTGTTGATAAGCTGACAATTTTCCATCCTACTACTTGACTTTAAAATCTAATTTTCAACTGTGATTTTGGATTTACATCTTTAGATCTAGGCCTTGCTGGTCAACCTGGTTGCATATATCCATATTCCTCTGCTAAGTTTTTTAGCTTGTTGTCTCTCAAGCACTATGGAAATCCTCAAGCACTATGGAGTAGTATTCTAGGACTGCAAAACTCATGCTCTGGATGTTGAAAATAACTTACTGGTCTTTATTTTTACCTAAGCTTATAAAAGGTTTGGCAAGTGGGGGAGTATTACATGTGGTTTTTTTTTCTTGATAGAATATTAGCCTGCTTTTTCTTTGATTTGTGCAAGGATGCCTAAATTGCTCTCTTTCCTCTTTGCAGCAGGAGCAAGATGAGTCTGAAGTCAGAACGCCGAGGGATCCATGTTGATCAGTCGGAGTTGCTCTGCAAAAAAGGATGTGGTTACTATGGTAACCCAGCTTGGCAGGGCTTCTGCTCCAAGTGCTGGAGAGAAGAGTACCAAAAGGCCAAGCAGAAGCAAATCCAGGAAGACTGGGAGCTTGCTGAGAGGTAAGAAGATCCTGGGGAAATTATGAGCTCTAGAATGTTTTTTCTGTAAACACCACCAATACCCTCCACTGTCAGCTAAATCACATGAAATATTGTTTGGGTTTTAAGATGCAACTTTTAGCTCTGGCAAAGTGTACATTCATTGGCTGGAAGTGTATCAAGTGACTTTAAATTGCTTTCATGAAGCTGCAGCATGAAAAGTGTTGTAATGGGTTCTAGAAAATAATACCATGAATTTCTTAAGCAGAGAATAATGTTTTTCAGGTCTGTTATCTAAACTCAAGTGTATTAGTATGGTACCCCTTCATCTTAATTATATAAAAAAAACAGTTGCTGTATATTTCAGTTTTAAAAATACTCATAATGATTGATGAGCTATAGCTCTATAACTGATGTTTTTCATCTGCTTGGCTATCTACCAAAAGACTATTTAGAATTTTGTGGATTCTTGTCCAGGAAGATAGGCCCTGATTGTCTCTGCTTACCTGCTTTTAAAAGTTAATAGTTCCTCCCCTCTAGAGAACAGTGTTAAGGAGGCAGGATGGAGTTCTGATTTGGCTTCCTAGTCTCTTCTCCAAAGTAGGTTGGCAGTACAAGACAGAAATGCTCAGAGATGAAATTTCTAGGTATCACAACAGTGGTCTTTCTTTCAGTCTTCAAGAGGTTCTGGCTAATACTGGTACAGCATGAAGCTGCCTATGTAGTTATAGGTTATGGGCACGCTGAATTTTGCCCTTGTAATACTGCTATTTTGGGAGCTGCATTGGTTGCCAGTTAGCTTTTGGGTTCAGTTCAAGATGCTGATTGTCACTTTTAAAACTACTGTATTCATGATTCAGAGACTGGATACCAATGAGACTACCTTCTCTGGATTGAATCTTTCTACCCAAACAAGGGACCTACATGAAGGTTCCTGTTTGAGGGAATGCTGCTTACAGGGACCTTGGAGGCAAACTTTCCCAGTGATGGCTCCTTTCTGTAGAAAAACTTATTCCTGGATATTTAGTCCTCCTCTACCTTATTGGGCTTATGAACGGTTATAAAGATTTTGCTCTTTAGGAATGTATTTTGATATGGAGATGTTTAGCATACCCTTGTAGGCAGCACTGTCATAATGCATTGGTTGATGCTTTGTGTTTCCAGTGTTTTTAAACCCATGTTTTTGGTCTTCTATGCAGGTAGTCCTCACTTAACGACCATTCATTTAGTGACCGTCAGAGTTACAATGGTGCTGAACAAAGGGTTAATCGGTTCTCACACTTACAACCCTCACAGAACCCCCATGGTCACATGATTGCAATCCGGGTGCTTGGCAACCAGCTCGCACTTACATGGTTGCAGCATCCCGGGATCATGTGATTGCCATTTGTGACCTTCCCAACTGGCTTCCGGCAAGCAAAATCAATGGGGAACTGCTTGATTCACTAAACGGCTGTGGTAATTCACGTAATGACCGCTGCAAAAAAGGTTGTGAAATTGGGCACAACTCGCTTAACAACCACCCCACTTAACAATGAATTTTCCACTCCCTATTGTGGTTGTTAAGCGAGGAATACCTGTAAGTCACTTAGAGCCAATGGAAATTTAGCAGCATAGACCAGAAAATACGTAAGTTGGTAAATAGTGCAAGCAAGAAAATTAACCCACATAGTGGACTGTGATGATATTTCTCATTGATGTAGCATTCATCACTTTCCTGAACAGCATTAGGACAAGAATCCTGACACACAGTCTGTAATAATTCATTAGTTCCCATTCTGGCACTTCATTGGTCTACATGGTGTAGACAAGGCTCTGGAGTCTGTTACTTGTGGCTGTTTTTCATGTGAGCCTTCTGTAGCTGGTAGTGTTGTGCAGTCTGAAATGAACGGTTTCAATCATTCTGGAAATGCATCGAGCTTGGAACAGCTATTTTGAGGCTATAGTACACTGTTTCAAACTTTAATAATTTCCAGAATGGTTGAAATGTCTTGTTTCAAGTGTGTGAAATAATTGCTTTCAGCATGAAATGGGGCATTTTGAAGTTGAAATATTTTGCATACTGCTAGTAGCCTGGATCTGGTAGCAGAATATATGGAAAGTTGCTAGTCATTTGGCAATACTTTTTAAGCAAACTGAGACTGCATATTTCTCTTCCCAATGATAGGCTGCAGCGTGAGGAAGAAGAGGCCTACGCTAATACTCATGGGGCTCAATCACTTACTTTCACAAAATTTGAGGAAAAAAAAACAAGTGAGAAGCTGCGGAAGGTGGCAACTGTGAAGAAATTTTTTGGAGCATCTTCGCGTCCTGGAACTAAGAAGGGTAAGGTGGGCAGAAAAAAGGAAAGAGAAATGTTTGCTTCTTAAAACAATTATTATAGAAGAGGTTGCTGGAAGGTTCTGATCTGTTTCATTGGTCTTCTGCATTTCTAGTGAGCATGTGGCCATTCTGGCATCTAAGTCATTGCCTTTGGAACCTTCTATTATTATCCAGAAAGTAGAAGATTCATAATAGCAGAAGTTCCAAAGTGCCCTACTTCAGCACTGAAAGCCCTCCACATGCACTGTCTTGATTGTTAAAACAAATGTACAGCTAATTAAAACATTAAGAGCCAAAGATTGGCCATAAGAGTTTTTTATGGTGCGGAGAAAATTTCACTCTAAACTCTAGAAAAACATAGTACGCTCAGCAGTAGTGTATCTCCTGAATACCTTAATATCTGGAGAGGCTTATATGGAAGGATGGTATGAATGAACTCCAATTTCTTACTTTTGGTAATATTGATGAATATTAGTCACCAAAACTGTGGTTAAAGGTGTCCTAATCTTATAGTTATTTAATTGTGAAACAGCTGGCTGGCTTAGATGCTATGAAATCCTCACGATTTCATGTCCTGGATTTGGACAAACTTTTTAAAGAGTAACTTTGAAATTCTGAAGGATTTTTTATTCCAAAGGTCTTTAGGATAACCAGTTTATAGGTCTGAGACTTTTAGATAGGCAGCTGCCTTCAAAGTGATAAATCACTGATAAACTTGTTGAGCCAATGAGTTGTTATAAACAATTAAGCGACTCAGACCTTAAGCCATAATCCAGTGTCATGTGTTGTCCTGTGAATAACTAAACAAAAATGAATGCTTAAAATGCAGGACCCTAGACTAATAAGAAAGGGTTCTTATCAAATCTTTCAGTAGATACTCAGTGTCAACCCAAGCATGGAAAAAGTTAAGAAAAAAGGAAGATTTAGAGACTGATTTTTTTACATTGTTATTTGTCCTTACATATCTGCTTGAGCATGGGCTGATGTGAAGAAACTCAAAGGTTTAAATAAAGCAAATATTAGCATGCACAATAATTGAGATAGTTCTGAAACATAGAAAAACAACAGCTGTGCAGCAACTTTAAGGGACCTTTGTGAATGAAAGTTTCTTGCCATCTGGTGCAAGCAGGTACTTCTATACCTCTTCTTACTAAAATCAGCACAGATGAATAGCATATCAAAGCCAAATACTGCTTGATCCTTTTATAGGACTGTGTAAATATTTGCAGTTGTGTTTAAGCCCTTTATACTTAATTTTATAACCCTTTTACTTTGTCCTTTTTTTTTTACCAAAAAACCCCACAACAATTTAAAGGACAGTAAAATGGCAAAGTACAACTGTCAATTAAATTTCAGCAGCAGTTAAATCTTAATTTTACAACAACATCCAGGCAACACCTGCTGGAATAAAATTGCTGATTGAAATGAGCAGTGGTGGAGTGAAACAAGCATTTTGGGAAGCTATTTCAAATTCTGTCCACTACACCTGAAAAGGCTACATTGTCGGCTTACTGTATATCCAGTAACAGGAGTGGGCCCAGAGAAGTGTTTTGGAGTGTCCTAACCTTATAGTTATTTCATTGTGAAACAGCTGGCTGGCTTAGGTGCTATGAAATCCTCACAATCTCATGTCCTGGATTTGGACAAACAAGGTGTACAAGGAACAATGGAAAATTGTGCTTAGACATTGGCTTGTCTGCTCATTAAACCCTTGGCATTCCACTGTCAGCACTTCAACACCTCCTTTCTGCTTGTGTGTGTGCTAATCTTAGCTGCTAACATCTTTCATGTGCATGTGCAGTTTGGAAAGTTAAGAACTGCCTGTTTTCTCATGTCACATATTCTGTGTTTATTACATGTTTTGAAATATGCTTTCTCTTCTTCAATCATCACTTTCAAAGTGCTTGACCACCAGATGTCCAAGCTATTATACCGTCATCTCTTTCTGTAGATCAGACCATGAACCGTAGCTCCATTGCCTCCCTTCTTTCTTTCCCCTGTTGCCTGTGGCTGTCCCGTTTGCTGTTTTGCATTTGTTCTGGCCATTCGGGAATCCAGTTAGTTTTAAGCCTGAACAGCTTGGGGAGGAAGTCAGTGCTGATAACCTTCTAAGGGACTTGAAGGAGATGTTTACTCCATTTTGGGAGCTTGCTTCTCCTACTGAAGGTAATACAGCACAGAGGGTCAAGCCATGCATGTGGTTGTTTTAGTAGCTTTGCAGAATCCAAGCTAGAATTATTCCAAGAGTAACCTTCCATATCTTCTAAACCTAAATAGGTTTCCTAGAGACAAGTACAGACAATCGAAGTTAAAAAAAAAAACACAATTATGGAGCCTAAACCTGGTATTTTCCTTCAACAGAAAATACTGTAAATTCTATTTAAAAATTTGCTTAATTATGTTATAAAGAAGCCCTTGTACCTATTAATCTTTAAGCAAAGTTAAAAATTGATAAAGTCTTGAAATGACTTTGAATCTAAACATTTTCTTTTAATTTTGGAAGGGCAAATTGTAAGGCAGCTTCTTGAAATGAAAACAATTAGATCAAAATGTTGCTCCAGGCCATAACAATGGTAAAACAAAAATTAGTAGTCATATGTATTTTGAGAAATAAGACTCAACTGCTACTGGGAGTGGGTGTTATTTTCTTTGATGAAATGAAAGAGAATCTTTATGAAGAATGAATAAGGCTGAGTGTTTCCTTGTCTTGACAGGTAGTTCATAAGCTCTCTATTTTTTGTTTTGATTGATCAATTAAATGATATCAAATCAGCGTCAAGTCTTAATGACTACCCAGATATAAATTTATTTTTGCTAGCTTTTGGAGGGTTCTACCCTCTCTGATTAACAAAAAGTTGAGTTGTTTGTACCTCTTGCTTCTAAGATTTCAGTAGAGATTATCCATGCAATTCTAGCATATTTTTCCATCCAAGAAGGCTTGATGCCTGCTCTTAAAAAAAGAGGCTGTTTGTATAGTATAAAACCTTATGCTTTTTTTTTTAACCCTCCTGTTGGAATTTTTGTTACTGTCTTTCAAAGATGAGGACAGTGAGATCCAGCTTTAACAGAAATAGTTTTCCAAGTGGTTTCAGATGCATGTTGTGATGCTTTTTCTTATTTCCATTCATTTGGGCTGCCTATTTATGGTCTCCTTCAGCTTTCTGCCAAGCATTTTATGGACTGTTCAGATTAGCTGCTCAAACTGTATGTATATATATATTTTTAAAGCCAGGTAGTTTAATGAAAGATTTGAGATAATTTTTTTCTGACTTATAGCATAACAAATTATTCTGTATCAAGTCAGGTTTTTATTTTTTTTAATATCACCCAGCCAGAAGATGCTGGAGGTACCAAAGCAGACTTTGAAAGTGATGGGACAATCCCTCCTCCTCCTCCATCTAACAGTAAAAGATAAAAACCAAATATTTCTAGCATTTTTTTTTTCATTCATCATAACTCCCACAGTTCTCAGATAGCATGGCCAATTACCTGTTAGCATCAGGAGCACAGCAGATTATGGAAGATAATTTCCTTGAACAGTATAAATGTAAAATGCCAAATAGATCAGTAACAACATTTTTAATATCCAGTCTAGCAGATTTGTCACATCCTTTTTCTATACAGTTAGAAAAGACAGTTAGGACTGAAAATATGTATTTTGCATCTTAAAAAAAAATAATATTGGCTACTCTGCCAGTGTGCAGTATTTGGTTAGGACAGTGTTTCTCAACCTTGGGAACTTTAAAATGTGTGGACTTCAACTCCCAGAATTCGCCAACCACCCATGCTGGCTGGGGAATTTTGGGAGTTGAAATCCACACATCTTAAAGTTCCCAAGGTTGAGAAACACTGGGTTAGGAGCACTTGGCTGATCTTGTCTAGACTCAGAAGTTACTGAGGGCCATGTTAGTCTCTTAACCAAATATTAACTATCAGGAAATACCGGAACTGTTGGAAGTCAAAAGGTGTCCTGGAAGAAGGTAGTGGCAACCCAATTCCAAAATGCTGCTAAGAAAACTATTTGGGTGTATCCATGAAGTCATGAGGAGTAGAGCTCAACTCACAGGAGAGTGTACATTTTCAAGGGCTTACTTGCCCTCTCACACACTAAGGGCAGCATTCCCCAACCGGGGGTCCTCCAGGTATGTGGGATCTCCAATAGCCGGGGTAAATTGAATGCGGGTGATTGTGGAGAGGGATCGTATTCTAGCATTATTAGAAATTACTGAATTAAGGAAAAACGCCTAAGAGTTTTGAGAGGATAATGCTGAACAAAAATACCTAAGTGTTTGATAGTTCTAGAAAAACCCACTTTTCTGGAATATCCTGGTCGCTTATCTGTGAAGGAAATGGCATAATTATAATGCAGAAATTTGGATGGTTCAGAACCTGATGTGAAAGATTTTTTATATACATACTTTAACTTGTCTATTTGCCTTGTAAAGGCAGGCAATTCATTTTGCCAGCATATGTGCTCCTTAGTTTCTAGGGATGAGGAAACCTTCAGATAGCAGATGTGGTGCTTAAAATGTTAGACTAGGACCCGGGAGACCCATGGAAGCTCACTGCTTCTCTAAGCCAACCATCTCAGAGGGTTGTAGGGAGAAATTGGAAGAGGGAGTGCTATATATATATAGCCTGTAAGAATCTAATAAGTATATATAAATATAAAAATGTGGAGAGGTAGCCAGTAACTTCATCAGTCCAACACACCTGCTAGCTAGACTCTATTGTTGGTATCATGGTGCAGTGGAGCAAGTCACCTAGAAAGGGTAAAGCATGCCTTGTTACCCACTGAAGAGACAAGAGCGGCAGTCTGTATAGAAGTAATGTATTAGGTTTTGTATCCCAAGGTGAGCACCTTGAATTAGGCTTGGAAAGCAGCCAGTTAGGCTGGGCTGGTGGATCTGGCTAAGTCACTAGTATTTAAGTATTAGTGTTATTGCATAAATTATAGTTAGCTGGATTTGCATGGCCCAGGTCAAGCTGTATCTCATATAGTG